GAGAGAGAGAGAGAGAGAGAGAGAGAGAGAGAGAGAGAGAGAGAGAGCACCTGCTACAAGACAACGGCCTCGCTGAACCATGGCATCCTCTTTGACTGGGGTCCTAGGAATAAAAGTGGGCATAGCAACAGCATTGCTATTTTTTGATTTTGATTTCTAAAACATGCTTAGGATGTAGCTCGGTGGTAGAGCTCCTGCTTAGCCTATGCAAGGCCCTGGGTTTAATCTCTAAAACAGCAACACAAAGCCAATAAAACAAAACAACAAAAGCAGTAGTTTAGTTTATTTAAAAAGAAACAAACCACCGTTGTGTTGTCTTCTATTTTTTTTTTCTGTTTAGTTGGTTGCCCCCGCCCTTCTCCCTCCCCCTTAGGAACCAGTAAAAATTTAATCAGATATTCTTTGTGTTTTTGAACATGTGATTGTGATTGCCCAAGAAAGATCTTTCCACTATAGAGACAGGAAAACTGAGACTTCACTAGGCAGACTCATCTAGATAGACACTTGTCCCCAGAACAACTCAAGACCTCTTTCCTACCGAAGGCACTTGTTGACTACACAGGGGAACACATTTATTCCAGGTAACCAGTATCTGGAGCCTGGGGAGGGGCCTGGCCAGGACTGTAGAGGCTAAGGAGGTCTTGCTAGTGTTGAAAAGTCCTAGCCACTGCCATGTTGGTGATGCCCTGGCCGTGTCAGTAGACCCTAGACCGCATGCCCATGTGGTATGAGGCACAGGGTAGCTAGAGCAGGGATAGACCCAGGTTTCCCAGAGTTCTGCCTGTCCCTCCCTTTCCCACTCTCTGTCTGCTTAGCTCCTGTGCTGACCCCCAGTGACTGCGACAGACCCATAAAGGTCCAGTGTATCATGTTTGTTTCCTTTTCGTGTTTCAAACACTTTGAATGAATGTCCAAAATCTAAAGTTTTCACCTAAAAATCAAGGCTTCTAGCTTGTTTGTTGATTTGGTGGGTCGGTTGGTTTTTGTCTTTCTGTAAGAATCAAAAAATCAAGATTGAATTCCTCCTTGAAGCTGAGTAGTACCTGGCCCTTCAAGTAGGGAACAAGCCTCCTAGGACTTGGGGCCCATCAGCTGGCTTCAAGCCTTCGCAGACTGGCCTAGCTGCCTCAGAGCTCAAGATGCATTTTCCCTCACACTGAACCTCTGGTGGAGTCGGATCCAGGTGAGTGAGGTATTTCAGATATTCAAGGACATTCACAGGAAGATATCAGGGAATCCCAGTGACTCTCATAATATAGCCTGGTGGTTCAGGTGGACAAGGCTGGCTCAAACCTTGATTGGTTTGTCAAGTAGCCTGACAAAACTCACTCAGCTTTAAGCTCCTGTAGTCTTCGGAGATTTCAGCAAGACAGGAAATGGGAAAGGGGTGCCTTCCACATTGACCTCCCTGGACAAACACCACACCACCCAGCTCTCAAGGAAGGGGAACAGAAAGGCCACTAACCAGTTAGTCTGGAGAACTCAGTGTGCATGGGGGACCCCAATGCTGCCTGTCCAGTTGCAGCTTCTACAAGATCAGGAGGACTGACCCAGTTGGTATGGTTGACAGTATGCTATTTACTTGCTGTGTGACATGTGAACAAGTGACATAACTAATCTGTATCTTGCTTTCTGGTTTATAATGGCTCATTATAGTCCCCCACCTCACTGAGCTCCTGTGAAGCTTAGATTCAATGGACCCATGGGTGTGAAGATTCAATGGACCCATGGGTGTGAAGATTCAATGGACCCATGGGTGTGAAGATTCAATGGACCCATGGGTGTGAAGATTCAATGGACCCATGGGTGTGAAGATTCA